TCATTTATTTTCTTGTCAATCCTATTATTTCCATTTCATGAGTGAGGAAACTAAAGCCTAGAGAGGGTAAGTAACTTGCTCCAGGGTCACTCAGCTGGGAACAAGCAAAGTTGGGATTCTATCCCAGGCAGTAAGGTCCCAGAACTCTTAAATGGAGCCCCCAGCAGAGACACCTGGCTTGGGAGGATCAAGGAAGGTTTCCAGAACCTCAAAGCTGAGACCCAAAGGACGAGGAATTCGCGGGGGAAGGTGTGATAAGATGTGCCAGGCAAGATGCTAGGAAGGAAACAACTAAGCCAAAGAGAAAGGCCCCTGCCTTCATTCTCCATTCAAGGTTAAATTTTATCTTGAACAGAAAAATATTTACCTTCATTGTTAAGACTTTGCTCCTGTTTATGTTTGAATATCTCATGTATTTAATTGGAGATCAAAGCTTTCACATTTTCTCCTTCAACTTTCCCTTCAGCTATGAGGGGTAACTTCAAAGCTTAATTGGTCCATTGGCTTCTCAGAATTTGTTCACATCCCTTAGACTGTAAGTTGCCTGAGTCTGGAGCCCATCTGTCTCTCCTTTCCATAGTACATAGCACAATGCCTTAATAAATACTAGTCAAATAAATGAATAAACAAAGTGAGAGAATCATTTAGCTTCAGAAATGTAGAACAGCTACATCTAAAAGTTCCCATTGGCTGGGCATGGTGGTTCATGCCTATAATCCCAGCATTTTGGCAGGCTGAGGCGGGAGGATCATTTGAGACCAGGTGTTCGAGACCAGCCTGGGCAATGCATTGAGACATTGATCTCTACCAAAAAAAAAAAAAAAAAAAAATTAGCCAGGCGTGGTAGTCCCAGCTACTTGGGAGGCTAATAGGAGCATCACTTGAGCCCAGGAGTTTGAGGTTGCCCTGTCTTAAATAAATGAATAAATATATAAATAAATGAAAGTTCCCATTGCCTTATCCTTGTCCTTTGAAATATTGGGGCTTACTCTCATCAAGCTAAAAATTATATTTGTAATGGGCATTTATTTATTTTTTATGAATTTTCTGTTATCCCTTAAATCAAATATACACATTAGATATTAATATAAATGTTATATATATATATACATATATATATATATATATGTATATATATATACACACACACATTTTTTTCAGCCTAGTAAGAACTAGGAAAAAATTTCCAGGAAAAAAAAGGCAGACTTATTGAATATTCAGAGGGTGCATTCTGAATAGCCAAGCCTGCTTATCCAGGGGAAAATGGTCTGTAACCCATGCACTGTAGGCAATGGTTCTCCACCCTGCCTACATATCAAAATCATCTAGGAGAGATTCTGATTTCATTGGTCTGAGAGGGGACCCAAGCATCAGTATTTTTTTTTCCTGAACAATCTCCAGGAGGTTCTAATGTGTGGCCATCATGGGAGCCACTGGGGCAAAGGAACATCACTTTTTACTAGGGAATGGGCAAGTGAACAGAAAGATTGCTCAGAAGGTGAGAAAGTCCTCAGCCTTTAGAGTAGGGCCAAAACAGAGGAAGAAGATAGTTTTTCCTATGATACTCTCATACTTGTCCCTTGGCTCCTGGCCCCAGCAGCTCCAAGCTCTGCTGGAAGACCCAGAAGGCTTGGCTCACAGGACAGAGGTAGGAAATGACCATGGACACGCGCATGGACAGCTCAGGGCTTCCCCTAAACCTCCCAACCACAGGTGACAACGTGAATGTGGTTTTTATCACACAGCTGCAAGCAAGGGCCTTCATATTCAGTGGTTAAGAAGAAGAAAAAGAAAGCTATACTATTTTCAGCATCTGCAGAAAGGAAAGGATGATCTTCTCCCTCTGTTCCAGACAGGAAGAGAAAGTTTGCTGGTTCCCAGGGGAGAGCTGGAGGTTGGGGGCAGCAGCCACAGTGTCAGAAAGAAAGTGAAAGAGGCTCTGGCCAAGTCTGCCAGAAGCCACTTCGTGCCATTCGTGGGTGTTCTTACCAGGCTGGAGAAAAGTGGTCAAAGAAGGAGAAACTGTCCCTTCATATCAGACCTCTGTGCAGCTGATCAGAGTAGATTCTGACATTGGCATCTATGTGGATGCCCGCACAGATTATACAGATGGGTGTGTGTGTGTGTTTCTAAGGAAAAGTGTTTCTTTTTTCATCAGCTTCCCAAAGATTAAGGATGACAACTGGCCCTGAGCAATGTCCACTGTAAGCCGAACACCTATTTGTAACCCACACACCTTGCCTTGTCAGATTTGTCCAGCTGAGCCTCGGCACACTACAGAAGCACATGACGTTTGTTCTTTGTGCTCAGCCTCTGCCTGCCCAGAGCTGCCCCTCAGGAGTGTAGCTTTCCCATGTTCAGATGACCTGAGCACAGCTAATTTATCACCAGCTTTGCCCTCCACTACAGCTCAGGACTTTCCTTCCCTGTCCAAGCACGGAGGCTCTCTTTGCTTCCCTGTATCTCTGTTCTTCCCTTCTGCCCTTGTGCTCCCAGACCTGAATCTATTTTTCCCTGTCTCAACCCAGGTTCTATGACCTCTAAAGATCAGCAAACACGATGTCAGTCTTGAGAGGCCTTCTCCAGCCTCCTGGCTCCCAGTTTCCACACGGACTTGTCATCCTTAGCATTCTGGGGTGATCTTCCAAGGTGAATGGCAAAGGGGCAGTGCCCAGCTCAGCTTTTCCTCCTGGGAGCAGTGTCCAGGCCTTGTCTATTAACCAACACATGTTTCAGAAAGCCCATGAGGAAGCTACATTATTTTAGATAAAATCATTAGCACTGACTTTGTTTATTGATGCTACACCATAACAAAAATAGGAAAACAAACTCTCTAACTAGTTTTAGCTGTGGGAAAAAAGATCCTAATTACTCTTATAAGTAATAGTAATAAGCTGCTTACTATGCATGTCTAATTTTCATGTACCGCAATAACGGTGTGTGGATCATTGGGTGGGTCAGTTGCCTTTCATTTCAATACTGAACTCTATTCAGGTATGTTCAGTCTTAAAAGTTTGCTGATCCTGTAGTAGGGCTGTCTGCTTTCAATTTAAAGGAAAAAATTCATTAGAAGAGAATGTTGGCTTAAACATGGAAGCCAGGGAGGAGAGAGGAGCCTAACAGGCCAGGAAAGGCCCTCTGTATCCTTCAGGGTCAACTGTATGACCTTGGGCAGGTCAGTCTGCTTTACTGGACTTCCTTTCCTCCTTTCTAGCGTGAGGAGCTCTGGCTGCTTATTTTCCACTTTTTCTTTAGGCAGTAGTCCCCTTCCTTTTTTTTTTTCCTAAATGAAACATATGCAGAACCCCAAAATATAAAGTAGATGAAAGAACAACTGCTTAAGGCTACCTTTGAAGAATCTTCACAGAACCCTGGGGTTCCAGCTTACCCTGTGATCTGAGTTTGTAAGAATGGGGGCAGGGCTGGCAAGCACACCTACCCACCCCACAGCTTTGGAGGGAAGGCCCAGAATACACCCCATGGTGCAAGGTGGCATCCTAGGAGCAATCTTAGTGACCCAAAAGCTAACCCAAAGGCCCCTGGATCAGCAGATGAAGAGGAACATTTCATTCTAAACTTCTGATGGTAGTGGTGAAGATACATACTTGGAGTTCTCTCACATTCAAACACGCTCAATCCAAATGATTTTATTTCAAATCCACCTCTCCAGATCGTCAGTGAGGATTCAATGAATGGACTCAGTTATGCTTTGATTTCAAAAGAGGCATTTTGAAACCTGTGGTTCCCTAGGCTCTAAAATACTAAGCCATTTGTCCTAATGACACAGCAGACTGAACTCTAGAATACCACAGGAATATCACACCACTGCAAATTACTAGGTGGTGCTGAGTCTTCAAAAAAAGGAAGTGAAACAAAAGCATTGCACTGTTTTTGAGATGCCTATTTGATATGGACTAATCAAAGAGTTTTTGAGATTATTTTCCTGGAGACAGCGTTATTCTGCGCAGTTGCACAGCACTTAAGTCGTCGTGTCCCTCCCCCCCCCCATATATCTACGTATAAACACAGGGGCCGGGCCATATAGTGGGCTATTTTCTCTCTCACTGAAGCTTCTAAAGACAAGGCCTTTTTGTCATGGCAAATGCAGGGCCAGTCAACCTTACAAAAGGAGTCATTTAATGCTCAATTTTCAAACTTTCTTATGATTAAAAACTTCTAAGCTCAAATGCTGTTATTGTATTTCAGATTGTTTTCTTTCTCCCTTCCCCAACAAATGTTTAAATTGTCTCTACTCTGCCAGATTCTTTTTTTTTTCTTTCAATCTGTCCTTGAAAACAGAGAAGTTCTCCTTTGCTCTTACTTACCCTAAACTATTTTAAAACCGGGGCCCTCTGACCTTTTTTACAACACCCTCTTGTCTGACACACCAAATGTGAGTCTGAAAGCCAAGAGGAGGTAAAGGATCCGGGGGCGTTGAGGAAAGGGGCAGGGGCAGGGGAGGTGCTATATATTTGGCATCAGCTCAGAAATTCAGAAAATGTTTGTGCAACCACCCGGTTAGGACCCCCCTCCCCAACTGCCTTCCAGCATAGTAATAAAAAAAGATGTGAGCGAATGAAACTGGAGAGCCCAGGAGGGACAGCTAAGGCGGTCATAATTATGTGCCCAGCGAAGCCCACGATCACCATCCCACACGTCCACCCCTCATCCCTCCCTTCCAACATCCAAAGTTTAGGGTCAGGACCTCGCGGCTTCCACCTCACCCCCGGGGGTGGCGGGTTACACTTGCAGCAGCACCGCCCACGAACGGCTCGTGCGAGACTGACCCAAGGACGGACACAGACACAGCCTGTGCACGTCGGGAGGGCAGAGCCGCGCACCTTAAGAGTCGTGTGCGTTCTTTAAGAAAGAAAAAAAGAAGTACACTGAGCGCACAGGCCTGGAATACATTAGCTTGTGAAATGAATCTAACACAGCCCAAGAGAGTCCATCTTTCCCTCAGACAAAAAGAAGGGGGGAAGGCGAAGCGTGCACATTACCATCCTGTCCCGAGCTTTCCAGATACTCCGTCAGGTCACAGCCAAACGCACCGGCGGCTCCCTTTCGTTTCAGCTTCTGCTTGGCACCCTTGTTCTTCATGAGTTAGTCCCAGAGAGGCTGCCCCTCCGTGTCGCCCTCCCCTCTGCTTGGCACCGCGCGTAGATGGTCTCCCGGCTCAGATCACTGGCTGCCCCGGGCTCTGGGGGGCCGCCCCGGCGATCCGAGGAACTCGGGCGGGGCCCGCGGGGAGCGAGCCGGGCGCGGCGGGCGCGGGCCGGGGCGCGGCGGGGAGCGGCGGCGCCAGCGGAGCCGAAGTCCCCGCGCTCCTCGGGGCGCCGTGCCGCAGGCCGTGCAGAGCTGGCGGCGCGGCCGGCTCGCTGGGAGTGTCACTTCCTCACTCGAAGTCCCGGGGACTTGCACGGGCTCCTGCGGCGTCCTCGGGTGTTTCCCTCCGCTCCAGGCAGGGCGAGCGCCCCCTCCGCCTCCTCGCAGCCGGGAGGACGCGAGCGCGGGGCGGGACGGCGCGGGGCAGCGGGGCTGCGGAGGGTGCTGTGCCCGGGGCCGGGTCCTGCCTCAGACGGCTTCGGGGAAGCGAAGAGCCAGCATCCTGTCGCTCTCGCCCGCCCTCGCGCTCTCCTTTTTTCCTGTCTTACAAATCCTAGGATCATCCAGCTCAGGAAGCGCTGGAAGGAAGTTAGCGCGGGAGGGGGCGGAGGGTGGAAACTTTTGGCAGCTCTGCGCTTGTGTGTGCGGAGCCGGAGGAAGTAGGCGGGTGGGTGAGGAGCGCGGCGGGGGAGAGATCGCGCCCGCCCGGGAGCCGGCCCGCGCCCGAGAGCCGGCCCGCAGCCCGCAGGGCGCCGCGCGCTCCCAGGGTCCCGCGCCGCCCGCCGCCGCTCCCTGCCGCGCCCGCCCCCGGGCCCGGGCCGGCGCGGTGGCGGGTCTCGGCCGCGGGCGCTGGATGCGGCTCGCAAACGCTTCTGCCCGGTTTTAGCCCATTGTCATCGTGTCTTTGACACTTTCTATTTCGGTGCCCGCCTTCCTCCTGCACAGACACTTAGAGCCATGACAGAAACAAAGACGGGACTCCGGCGGGGGTTCTGCGCGGGCCACTCCCATCCTCCTCGCCCGTCCGCGTACCCCGAACCCCGCTCTCTGCCTCCCACGCCGAGGTGAGGATGCCCGCGGGCGGAGCGAGGCTGCAGCCTTGCAACCGCTGCCCAGGAAATCAGATTTCTGGTCACAGATTCAAGTTCTCTCTCTCTCTCTCTCTCTCTCTCTCAAGCATTACTGCAAAGTTTGCTAAATGGAAGTGCTTTTGGAGGGGAGAAAGCCAGGATTTAAGGTGCCTATGCATATTCTAGCATAAAGTGGAGAAAGCAGTCTCCCTGGTTGTTTCATAATTTGTCTCAAGTTGTTTCAGGAGGGCATGTTTTTTCTTCTCCAGTTAGATTTGAAATTCCTTGACTTCTGTGTACTCAGCACGCAGTAAGCACTCAAATTCTTGCGATTTAACCATTTGAGGATTAGATGAAACTTCCTGTATAAATTCAAACCCATATATAGGCTTGAAGGGTAGGGGCATTCATACAGCTCAGATGGTTGACAAAACTTTTATGGGTAGCATTTGAGTTACTGAATCCCCTTATACTCACTTATCTCCCTATGTGTCACCTTAACAGTTTATGGACTTTGACCTTTGGACTTTACTCTGTCAGAGGTCTCAGCTTGATCACCAGCCTGCCAAATCTGGCCTATAGATGTGTTTGGTTTGGCACACACCATACTCTAAAATATTTCAAAATAGGTAGCCAGCATTAAAGAGTTAAGAGATTTCACATGAGAGATCTGAATTTCTGCCTTCTCTTGCAGAAATGGAAGCTCTGGTTACACCACAAGTGCATTCCCAGATGACAAGGACCACTGATGCCAAGCTGTGACAGCCCCCGTGGTGGCACTCTCTTTAGAGAGATGAGCTTTGCAGTTTTTTTTTTTTTTTTTTTTTTTTTTTTTTTTTTTTTTGACAGAGTCTCGCTTTGTTGCCCAGGCTAGAGTGAGTGCCGTGGCGTCAGCCTAGCTCACAGCAACCTCAAACTCCTGGGCTCAAGCGATCCTCCTGCCTCAGCCTCCCGAGTAGCTGGGACTACAGGCATGCGCCACCATGCCCGGCTAATTTTTTTTATATATATCAGTTGGCCAATTAATTTCTTTCTATTTATAGTAGAGACGGGGTCTCGCTCTTGCTCAGGCTGGTTTTGAACTCCTGACCTTGAGCAATCCGCCCGCCTCGGCCTCCCAAGAGCTAGGATTACAGGCGTGAGCCACAGCGCCCGGCCTGAGCTTTGCAGTTTTGCAGCTCCCACAGCCTGTCTTCCCCCCTTTGCCCCTGCCTGGCCTCTGGAGCCACTTGAGTTTGCACCCCAAACACCCTCTACCTATGGTCTTTCCTTTTTATTGTTTTCTGTCTGTCTCTCAGTGACACCAGCATTGACCCAGTCATCTTAGCCAGACATCTTCAAGTAACCACTGACTCATTTCTCCTTCCTCTTGCTCCTACCTCCCAGCTAGTCCCACCCAGACTGATGAGTTCTTCAAAATGCCTCTCAGCTCAGTTTCTTCCTTTCCAGGCCCACTCAGTGAGGATCACCCAGGCCTCAATTATTAGCATAACTCCTGATGGGATCAATTGAGTTCGGTCTCCTCCTACTTCATACATCCCATGTTCTGAAGCCCCGGCTAATCTTCCTGAAATATTGCTGTTGTTATATGCCTGCCTTGCCCAAAACCCTTCAATGACTCCTTGTTTTCTGCTACCAGGACAACAATTTCTAAGCATTTCATAAGATGCTTGGAAATTATCTGGTAGGGTATTTGTATAATGGCCTGTTCCTCCCCTTATTTATGGAGAAGCATCTCCACATGGGACAGTAATTATCACTATTAACATTTGTTTAGGAGTTTACTGCAGCAAAGACTTTCATATTCATTATTTCATAGGACCTACTATGGATTTTCTGGGTTTCCTCCTCTTGCTAGCAAATGAGAGAAGCTGGAGGAACACTTGTGTCCTGGGTCCAGGCCCTCGGGGCACAAATTATGGAGAAATTGTCAAGCTCTGTGAATTACCTTTTTACATCTTTAAAACATTATTTTAACTTTTGCTTTTGAAGTAATTTTAGCTTATAAAAATTTTTCAAAAAATAGTCAAAAAATTCCCATCTACTCTTTACCTAGTTTCCCCAAATACTAATATTGTATCTAACAAGGCTACAATCATCAAAAGTAGGAAGTTTATATTAATATGATAACATTAACCAATCAACAGACCTTATTCAAGTGTGAATTTTTAATTACACAAAATTTTTATTAAATAGGTCTTTCTTATAACAAAGTGTATCAGTTAAGTATGCAAACAAGGATTTACAAGTAATTCTCACAATACTTCACAGTATAACTTTAGCCATATACGAGATACCCTTAATCGACATCAAACCCAGCAGATGTAATTTGCCGAAAGACAGGGCTGCTTAGGTAAACCATAAGGCTAATAAGGCTAGATAGTGGCCTTAACACAGCCTAAGATTCTTTTATACTTAGGCGTTCCCAAAAGGCCTCTGCCACCATAGAACTTTCAACCTGGCACAGCCTGAGAGACCTGTGGTCCCTGCTTCATGATAAGTTGGGTTCAAGTTGTTAAAGATTCAGGGTGGCGGTACTGCTGAGCACCCAGCAAGGTGTCCATTGTTCCTGTGCTGATTGAACAAACCTTGTTAGAAATGTGCACACAATGGTTCTTTGCCTGTATGATAACTCTCAATTATCAACACCAAATGGTAGCATGGATTCCCAACTTATCAAGCCAGATAATGAAGTCATATGGAGCTAGAAAAGAGTCCCCTCCCCATTTCTTCCCTGTCCCCTCTTAACGTTGAGCACTCTCTGTAGTAAGTGCCAAACTTAAATCTAGTCTTTGCCTTGCATGTTCTTTTTCTAATTTTTCTCTTTCCTTCCTCTAGGTATCTTTTTTCTTCCCATTTTTTTCTCTTTCTCCTTGCTTACCCTAAGCAGTCTCTTTCCTGGGTCTGTAGAAGAAAATCTGGTTTGGTTCCCAAAGGTTTTTCTGTTCGGCTGCGGATTTCCTAAGAAGCAATTTATATGGAGATAGTGCAGGAATGTCTACTGCAGGACTAATTAAGCTATTGGGTGATAATATAAATTATGCCTTTAGCAGATTGTCACTGTGCAAATTTACTAGAAAAACGCTTTGTTCACAGGGAGATACCACAGAAGAGTCCTGTAGTCACCTATGACCCTCTTATCTGCACCTATTGAGGACTGATGCCTATCAACCTATGCCATTTGCTTTCTTCTAAGGATGGTAGCAGTCATTTCTGCCATAAATAAATAGATATAGAAGACAGCAGGTATTTGAAAGTTTTAGTGTCACCTACAATGTAGGCTTTTCTTTTACCCAGTTTTTTCATAAAACTATAGTTAGCAATCAGCAATTTTAGCATTCTCCCTTCTCTCCCAGTACCTAATGAAATGCTTTTGCGTGATTCCTTGTCCATGGGCTGTGATGACTGTATTCTGAAGTCCACATTCTGGGGTACCAGAGTGTTAGTTCACCCTCTTGCTGAATACATTTGCTGCTCCCTCCACCCCGACTTTCTCTCCACCAACCATCCCTGTTTTAAAGGTACTTGTGTAGTATCTGGTGTTGAGATCAACTACTAGGTGAGGCTCTTCTATGAGAGAGGACTGGTGTCCCACCCCTTGAACCACCAGTGCCCTGGGGTTCTGAAGCCAACAGAGGATGAGAATGAGCAGAGCAAAAGGGCTTCCAAAAAGTTTTATATCCCAAGCTCCATTATTGCATTTCTCTGTGTATGGGTTCCCAGATTTAGGTTATGCTACAAGTTGTTGTCTCCAAGTGTCCAAATGAGGTTAAATAAGCATCCTTATTGGGTTGTGAGGAAGGTCCACATTACCAACCCCTAATCAAACAGAACTGAGTGGAGGAGAAATCAACTGACAGGAGAAAAGAAACAAGAACCAGAATCAGTCTCCAGTCCTGACCAGCTGACCTCCCACAGCATTACCATCTCTGTAACTATAAAAACCAGTTTTGCTCCTAAAAGGGCTTCCAAGAGCAAGCAGGAGCATCAGAATGGAGAAGGAAGAGGACTTTAAATGGCCTCACTCTCCAACTGAAAGTTGAAGAACAGATCTAGTCATTATTACACATGATCTCTCGTCACTGTCCC